CAGCCGGGAGGCTGCAAAAACCGGGATCGGCCCCATCCGGCACCCCCAAACCAGGACACGGCCCTTCCAAAACTCCACCGGTGCCCTCTCCCTCGCCGGGGCCCTCCCCGTACCTGTCGGGGGGCGGCCCGGCCCCCCCGGCTCGGTGGCCTCCTCGCAGACGCTGGTGGTCACCTCGCTGATGCACGACTCGTCCTCCGAGGGCTGGGGAGGCGCAGGGACCGTCGGCGGCTTCGGGGGTCCCGGGGGGATGGGGGGGATACGGGGGGGACCCCACAGAGGGGGCGGCGGGTGGGGCGCTACTGGGAATGCCCCCCCCCCCCGAAAGGGTGGGATGAGCCCCGGGATGCTGGGATGGGCTGGGGGTGTCGGGATGGGGAGGGGGGGGTGGGTGTCGGTGGGGGAGCAGCGGCGGGGGGGCACCGGCAGCTCCCGGCCCCCGCCACCGGGCTCAGAGAGTGCGGAGACCCCGAGGGAGGGGAGGGAGGGGGCTGCGGGGGGCTGGGGGGGACACGGGGAGCGGTTCCCGGGCCGGCTAATGAGGTGGGGCGGGGGAGAGAGAGGGGAGAGATGAACCCAGAGCAGCGAGGGGTGGCAGGGGGTCCGCAGAACCCCTCAGCCAGCAGAGCCCCCGCACCCAGCAGAGCCCCCGCACCCAGCAGAGCCCCCGCACCTCGTTCTCAGAGGAGCTGGCGGAGAGGAAAACCTCGCAGGCATCGAAGAACTCGGTGTGGGAGTCGGCCAGCGAGACGATGCTGCGGTTGGAGAGCTGCTGCTCCCGGCCCTTGGCGGGCAGCGTGTCCGGCTGCGGGGACAGCCACCGGCTCAGCCCCCATCCCGGGGGGGGCCGCAGCACCCCCAGCCCGCCCCATCCCACCCCCCTGACCTCATCCGGGTGCAGCGAGGCGAAGGAGTCCAGGGTGGTGTCGGAAGAGACGGAGAGGGAGTGGAAGCGGCGCAGGGCGGGCTGTGGGAAGGGGGAGGCTGAGCCGAGCCCCCCGCCCCGCCCCGGCCGGTCCCCTCCAGCCGGGACAGGGCTGACAGGGACGGGGGTCACCCAGCACCCTTCTGAGACCCCAAGAGCAGCACCCCAAGGTCTCCTGTGGCCCCTCACCCCGGCGGTGCCGGCGCTGCCGGGGCGTGGGGCCGGACACTGCCTGTCCAGCGCCAGCCGCATCTCCTCCAGACGGCTCCTCTCGGCCACCAGCGCGGCCACCACGCTGCTGAGCGAGCCGTGCACTGCCGGGGGACACGGGAGGCACTCGGGTCAGCACCCCAAAACCCCCCCTGAGAACCCCACCAAGGCTCAGCCCCGCCCGCCCCGTCGCACCTTTCTGGGCCAGGACCCAGAAGCTGCGCTGGAGCTGGCTGTACTCCGGGGGGAGGCTGAAGGGCAGCTGGCTCTGCGACGACTCCAGGTAGCGGGACAGGTTGGGGACAGAGCCGTGCAGGCGGCCCACCTGGGGGGACACCGGGGGTCACCTGGGGGGCTCCGTGCCCAGGCAGTGGCAGAGCTCGGGCTGGGGGGGGGTCCAGCTCACCCTCACCCTGCCGATGGTGTCGTCCTTGGCGAAGCTCTGCGTGCACCAGATCTTGGTGGTCCTCCGGCCCTTCTTTGGTCTCTCCGTGGCGGCCGAGGGCTGTGAGGGAGAGGAGGGGGCTGCAGCCGGACCCTCCCCAGGAAGGGGGGGCCACGGGACCCCCTGGCCCGGCTGTCCCCTCTCACCTGGCTGCCGGAGATGAGCGGGGCCGAGGGGATGCGGTGCAGAGCCTCCAGGTGTTGGAGCATTCCCGTCAGCTCCTGCAGCTTGGCCTGGCACTCCGACAGCTCTGCCAGGGGCACCGGGGTCAGCGAGGGGGTCCGGGGCACCCCCCCGGCCCTGCCCACCCCCTCGGGCCCCGCTCACCGGCCGAGCAGCGCTCCAGCCCCTCGCTGTCCTTCAGCCAGGCGTCCACCTTGTCCCGGGAGCTGGCCAGCGTGGACAGGGCAGGGGCACTGCCCGAGGGCAGGATCCGAGTCCACTGGCCCTGCAGCGGGGCACGGAGGGCATCGATCGCTGTCAGGAGCCGCTTGGCCGGGCTCTGCCTGGCGCTGTCACCCCGAGCTGTCACCCCGAGCTGTCACCCACCTGCGTGTTTGTCCCCGCGGGACCCCCCGGGGGACACGGCTCCGGCCGCTCGCCCTGGTGGTGGCTGCAGAGGCTGCTCACCCAGCTGGAGAACAGCTCCGGGGACTTGATCTGGGGGACGGGGGTGAGGTGTGGGGGACACCACCCGATGTCCCCAACCCTGTCCCGTCCCAGCTCCAGCCCCACAGTGGCACCTTGAGGTGATAAATGTTGTCCTCCGTGTCCAGGTCAACCCTCTGCGCCTTCTTGTTGACGGACATGACGGACTGCCGGACATCGATGGCGCCGTGCAGTTTGCCCTTGAGGACCTGGGGGAGCCCAGGGACGCCTGTCAAGGGGGGGACCCCCCTTCCTCAGGGGGGCCACGGGGGTGTCCCCAGCCCTGAGCCCCCCGGGGAGGCTGCGTGGCCACAGCCTGGGCACACACTCACGTCCTGGCGCGTGGTGGAATATTTCAGGATCCCGTTTTCCAGCACGAAGTACCGCTGGGGACGGAGGGGAAAGCGTGGGGTTTTTTTTGGGAGGGGGTTCAGCCCCTCCAGCGACCCCCCCTCCAGCCAAATCCAGGACCAGCCGGGATGACGGCTCCTGGCGCCGGCTCTGCCGTTTACCTTGTGCCAACCCTTGAGGGGCCATTTCCTCTTCTTGAGCAGGTACCCCTCGTGCCGCTGCGGCTGCTGCCCGGGGCTGCCCCGGCCTCGGGGCTCCTCCACCACCTCCCAGCTCTCCGAGCCCTGCGGGGATGGGGTCAGCACGGGGGTCCCCGAGCACCAGACGCTGCTGCCCACCTTGTCCTCAGGCAGGGACATTTGGGGGTAAAGCCCCCAAAGCCTCCCCCTGGTCCTTCGGAGCCCCCCCAAACCCAAATGCTCCGACCTGCTGGACGCTGCTGTGCTTGGAAGACACGGTGCTGTTGGAGCGGGACAGGGCTCTTTTCGGAGAGGACGGGTCCTTCTCGTGGCTGCCCATGGCCGGCGAGCAGAGGGGGCGGGGGGCACCGGTCCGAGCCCCCCCTCCCGTCCGGGCTGCGGGGCCGGGGGTCCGAGCTCGGCCGTCACGGCGGGAGCCGCTGCGGGGAGGGACCGGCGGGTCAGGGAGCTCCGGGACAGCGTCCGCAGCCTCACCGGGACGGGGGCCGGCAGGGACCCCGCTGTCCCCTGCTCCCGGGGGACCCTGCATGGCACCGCCGCCGGCACCCAGAAACTTCTGCGTGAGCCGGAGCCTTTGACCCGCCCAGCGCTATCTCGGCTGCGCCGCCCGCTCCGGGTTCAGAGTCCGGCCCCGCCGCCCCAGGGACCGGCTGCCACCGGGCAAGCGTGGCACAGCCGGGAGGGCGGCACCGGGGCAAAGACCGGGACCGACCCCTGCTCCATCCGGCACCCCCGAGCCAGGACACGACCCCTCCAAAGCCCGGCGCTCTCCCGGCAGGGCGTTTGCTCCCTTTGCCCTTCACGATTCCACCGGGGGAAACTGAGGCACGGGGAAGCTTCTGCTGGCCCTGCCATCCCCTCTGGCGCTGTCCCTAAAGGGGCACCCGTGTGTCCCGGCCGCTGCTGCAGGGTGGATCCTGGGATAACCGCGGGACAGCGGCCAAGCCCCGGTACCGGTGATCACCGTGCCGGTAACCGGGGCAGCGGGCACCGCCGTACCGACGGCCACGGCGCCGGTAACCACGGCACCGGCAGATAACCACGCTGCCGTAGACAACCCGGTACCGCCGACGGCGGCTCCGCGCCCCGCAGCTCCGAGGGGAGGGCACCGGGGGTCTCCGGGCTCTCTCCCGCAGGTGCTACCGGGGATGGGCACCGAGCTCTCGCACCGGAGCCGCGCTCTGCCGGTACCCCCGGGGGTCTCCATCCCCCGCGAGGGGAAAAGCCCATCCCCGTGTCCCCGCGGCGGTGTCACCCCCCGGGGCGGCGGGGGCCGGGGGCGGCGGGGCCGGAGCTTCGCCCGGTGCCCGTGGCCGGTGCTCACCTGGGCGGGCGGCGGGAGGGCGGCGGGGGCCGGTCGCATCCTGCCCGGCGGCGGCGGCAGGAAGCGGAACACGGAGGGCGGTCCGGAGCCGCTCGGCTCTGCCCCCTGCTCCGTGGAGGACCGGAGCCGCCAGCGCCGGGAGCCGCCGGGACACCGAGAGCGCCCGCACGGAACCGGGGCAGCCCCGGGGAAAGGGGTCCCGGGAAAGGCGGCGCCGCACGGGGGTCCCGGGGTTGGGCATTCCCGGGGGGGGGTCCTCGAAGATCACCGACCCATGAGGGTCTCGGGCATCAGCGACACACCGGGGGAGTCCCGGGAATCGCCAAGCCGCGGGGGTCTCAGGATGGCTGGGGGTCTCAGGAGCATCATCCCCTGGGTGGGGTGGGGTTCCCAACCCGCGGGGGTCTCAGGGTGGCTGAGGGTCTCAGGATCATCATCCCCTGGGTGGGGTGGGGTTCCCAACCCGCGGGGGTCTCAGGGTGGCTGAGGGTCTCAGGATCATCATCCCATGGGTGGGTTTGGGGATCCCAACCCGCGGGGGTCTCAGGGATCACTGACCCACCGGGATCCCGGGAATCACCAGCCCGTGGGGGGTGTCTCAGGGCTGATCATCCCATGGGGATCCCGGGAATTACCACCCCATGGAAGTCTCGGGAAGTCTCGGGAATTATCACCCCAGGGGTGTTTCCAGCCACAGGAGTCCCAGCAGTCAGTGACCCACGGGGGCGTGAGGGATCACCCACGCTAGCATTTCCTGGGATTTCCCTCTCCCACCCCCAGCTCTGCTCCCTCAGACCCCCGGAGCAGCCCTGGCCTCTCTCTCCACCCTCGGGGGGCAGAAACGTCCCCCCACCCCACCCCACCCCACCCACTCCCCAAAATTCCAGACAAGGCCTCAGCATTTCCAGACACTTTAATGGACACGACAGCGATCCCAGGCTGGGATCAGTGTTACAGCACACCCCCATTCCCAAGGCACGGGGCTGGGAGTGCCCAAAATCCCCCTGGGAGGGTCCATCCCGCGCTCCTCCTCCGCTGGCTGATCCCAGAGATCCCTGCTCACAGCTGGAACGCCGCTGGGATCTTCCCAAGGGAGCACAAGGGACTGGTGGGGCCTCAGTGCCAAACCTCCAGTCCCCGACCGCCCATTCTGGAGCCGATTCCATGGGAATTGCGTCCATCATCCTCCAATGCCTTATCCTGGGGGCTCCCACGGCCAGGGAAGGAATTGGTTCTCCATTTCCAGCGTCAGTGATTCCCAGAGCTCCGGCCCGGGGGAGGCTCCGCGGCTCCCCCCGTGTCCCGCAGCCGTCGGATGTGCTCGTCCAGGAGCGCCGTGAGGTGAGCGGGACCCCGCTGGAGCAGGGAGGAGGTTTGGGAGGACAGCAGGGACAGGGCTGCCACCGTCTGCCCCTGGGACACCTCCAGGGACGGCAGCCGGGCGAAGTTCTCCACTCCCTGCCGGCTCAGGATGGTGCCGTCGATGCAGGCGCCTGGAAAACGGCAGCTCGGGATGGGCATGGAATATTCCAGACCTTTGGGAAGGGACTGCTCGGCCCCGCAGGCTGCCCACCCCTCCTCTGCATGGACACAGCTCCCTCAGGGGGAGTCATTCCCAGTCCTGGGCCCTCATTCCCAGCCCTGGATCCTCGTTCCAAGTCCTGGATGAGCTTCCCAAGTGCTGGGCCCCCAGTCCCACCCATGGCTCCCATTCCCACCCCTGAGCCCCCATTCCCATTCCCAAACCCCCATTCCCATTCCCAAACCCCCATTCCCATTCCCAAACCCCCATTCCCATTCCCAAACCCCCATTCCCATTCCCAAACCCCCATTCCCATTCCCAAACCCCCATTCCCATTCCCAAACCCCCATTCCCATTCCCAAACCCCCATTCCCATTCCCAAACCCCCATTCCCATTCCCAAACCCCCATTCCCATTCCCAAACCCCCATTCCCATTCCCAAACCCCCATTCCCATTCCCAAACCCCCATTCCCATTCCCAAACCCCCATTCCCATTCCCAAACCCCCATTCCCATTCCCAAACCCCCATTCCCATTCCCAAACCCCCATTCCCATTCCCAAACCCCCATTCCCATTCCCAAACCCCCATTCCCATTCCCAAACCCCCATTCCCATTCCCAAACCCCCATTCCCATTCCCAAACCCCCATTCCCATTCCCAAACCCCCATTCCCATTCCCAAACCCCCATTCCCATTCCCAAACCCCCATTCCCATTCCCAAACCCCCATTCCCATTCCCAAACCCCCATTCCCATTCCCAAACCCCCATTCCCATTCCCAAACCCCCATTCCCATTCCCAAACCCCCATTCCCATTCCCAAACCCCCATTCCCAGCCCCAAACCCCCATCCCCAGCCCCCATTCCCACCCCAACCCCCCATTCCCAAACCCCCATTCCAAGCCCCCATTCCCACCCCAAACCCCCATTCCCAGCCCGGACCAGCCCGGCTCCGCGCTCCCAGCCCGGGGCAGGCTCTCACCCAGCAGCACGACCTGTGGAACTCCCTTCAGCACCCGCAGCATCTCCCTGGCGCGCGCCTCGGGGCTCACCAGCAGCACGTTGCGGCACACGAACAGCGGCAGCAGGCTCCTCAGCTCGGACTGCGCCAGCACCGGCCGGATAACCTGGGAAACGCCTCGGGATCGGGCTCGGGAACAGCGGGATCCCCCCGAGCCCCCCGCGGGGAGCGGAGCTCACCTCGTTGAGGACGAACTTGACGTGGATGTTGTGCTTGCGCAGGAAGTGCCGCAGCGTGGCCACGTCCTCGTCCGGCAGCGAGTTGAACTGGCACACGGCCACCATGCGGCTGCCACGGAGAGCCTCCTCGGCCTGGCGCCGCAGCGCCCGCGCGTAGCCGTCCTCCTGGGGCTGGGATGGG